AATTATGTTTACCTTTAATAAGTTAAATTTTACACATTGTAGTAATTATATATATATATTTAGTAATTTATGTTAAGTTAAATATTGTTTTATTCGTTTTTATTATATATTGTTAGTGTTTTTTTTAGAAAAAAAAATTTACAAACCATATTAATTTTAAAGAGACTACAAATTTAACAAATAAAAAAGACATTAATATTACCAAATTAGTTATAATATTGAAAGATAACATAGAACAACGGAAAATAAAAATACATCATAAACCATGAAAATTAACGACCATACAAAAAAAAGGAAAAATACATCCTAAACCATGATAAATAAAAAACAAACACACACAAAAAAGAAAGAAAGAAAAATACATCATAAACCCAAACCGGAAACCAAAAAACAAGCATGACAATTTAGTAATCTGGTAAGTTGAAACCGCTTCCTCCAAGATCATTAAAAAAATTGGTCAAATGCATTGGTTGGAAATGGATCTGATTGGGCTTGTTGTGCTCTTTTCTCCAAGATTCGTGCTTTTTCAGCTTCAACGTATGCTCGAACTCTAGGATCTGCTATGGAATTGACATCTTGAAACAGAATTTTATTTTCTTCTCTCATTTCTTTAAAGCATGAGATCTGTCGCTTATTTCCAATTGATGTTTTATTTGGTCGTTTGTATTTTTCATCTCCTCAACAAGTCGTTTGTTTTCTTCCTTCATAGCATTGATGAGCGATGATGAATCCTCATTTACCTTTCTTTTCAGTTTGGCTTTCTTCACCCCGATAGGTCTTTCAGATGGAGTACCACTAGCAAATTGATCCGAGTCGCTTAAATTTAGAGAAAATGAAGAAATACCTGGGGATTCTTGTCGGGCAGACTCGGGAGTTGGATTTTCTGACTCCGAAGATGGATACGACCAAATTGTTTTTCCTTGCTCCTCGAAGCTCCATCTTGAAATGTTTCAAAGTTTTTAATAATATTCCAAACATGGTCGTATTTCCATCCGGATTTGAATTTGGAATCTTCTTTGAACAACACTTTCGCTTTGAGCATCTATAATTTTTCATAAACAATCAAACAAAGCTAATATAAATAATAAATTTAATAAGTAAAAAATATGATAAGATTTTAATACTCACTGTATCTTCATTTGAAGCACCACTTTGATACATATCTTCTACTGCTTTAATGCATGCATGGAGTCTCTTGGCTGCTTTTTCGATCGTTTGAATCCGTGCTTGCATAGATCTCTGGCTACGAACCTCCCAATGTTCAAGTCTTTGTTCATTGAAAGCTTTTTCTATACATGACCAGAATCGGTCAGATGATTGGTATACCCCAACAATTGGGTCCTGAGAAATATCCATATAAACCTGGCATAAAAGAATATCTTCATCGTGGTTGTAGGAAGATGAACGGATCGACATCCTTACAAGAAGTTAGATGTGATAAAGGTTTAGTGTATAGAATAAAAATGTTGGGATGTAGCCACCACAATATCATATCTTCTTTTATAATGAATAAGCCACTCTCCTCTCAATGGTTTAACCCGAAATGAACACCCTCTGCAAAGGTGACATGCTTCTCCATGTTCTGACTCGAAAATGACATAACACTGCAATGTTCCCCCACACCTCTCAATGCTTTGACCCGAAAATGAGCACTCTCTGCAAAAGTAATCACGATTCACCATGTTCTGACTCGAAAATGACATATCACTGCAATGTTCCCCACACCTCTCAATGATTTGACCCGAAAATGAGGACTCTCTGCAAAGGTGACACGCTTATCCAAGTTCTGACTCAAAAATGACATATCACTGCAATGTTCTCCACACCTCTCAATGCTTTGACCCGAAAATGATGACTCTCTGCAGGTGACACGCTTATCCAAGTTCTGACTCGAAAATGACATATCACTGCAATGTTCCCCACACCTCTCAATGCTTTGACCCGAAAATGAGGACTCTCTGCAAAGGTGATCACGCTTCTCCATGTTCTGACTCGAAAATGACATATCACTGCAGTGTTCCCCACACCTCTCAATGCTTTGACCCGAAAAGGACCTCCCACTGCAAAGTCTGTCACGTCTATCAATGTTTTAACCTAAAAATGACCACTACCTACAAAGCTTACCACCCTTTCAAATTCACTACTATAAGAACATGACATATACTAAATCCTTCACACACTTGAATCTCTTCAAACATCTTATCATATTTCTCAATCCCACATTTCTACAATGAATTTTAATTTTGGCAATTTGTCATCTTCTTCATCTGATTCTGAAGATGATCATATACTAATTATGACTGCTCTTCGTAAAAAACAAGCAGTGATATCTCGTGTTATCGCTAATAAAAACACCATCATTCAACACCTTCTCAATCAACAAAACCAAGAAGCCTCCCATGGAGGTTCTCCTGGGCATATTGTTATCAATCGTGATCGAGAGGCTGCTGATCGTAGGTTATACAATGATTATTTCTCAGAAAATCCATTTTATAACGAGACCATGTTTCGTAGAATATACAGAATGTCTCGCTCGTTGTTCCTTCGAATTGTCGATGCAGTCAAAGATCATGATCATTACTTTCAACAACGAGTGGATCGAGCTGGCAGACTTGGATTATCTCCAATACAAAAAATAATTGTTGTCTTTCGTATGTTGGCATACGGCGTTCCAGCAGATGCTACAGACGAGTATGTCAAAATTGGTGAGTCTACTGCAATTGAAAGTATGAAAAAGTTCTGTCGAGCGATAGTTGAGGTATTTGGCGAGCGATACCTGCGGAGACCCACATCTGATGATATTTCCAGGCTTCTATATATTGGTCAACAACGTGGTTTTCCAGGAATGTTGGGGAGTTTAGATTGCATGCATTGGAAGTGGAAAAATTGTCCTACAGCGTGGGCTGGCCAATATGCGGGTCGTAGTGGAAAGCCTACAATCATTCTTGAAGCTGTAGCAGATTATGATCTATGGATATGGCATGCTTATTTTGGTTTTCGGGCTCCAACAACGATATCAACGTTCTAGAATCATCTCATCTTTTCTCGGATCTAACCCAAGGTGTTGCTCCTCCAGCTAATTATATAATTCAAGGAAAAGAATACAACATGAGTGATTATTTAGCTGATAGCATATATCCAAAATGGTCTACCATTGTGCAAACAATTCATGAGCCACGTGGTCCGAAAAAAAGATATTTTGCAATGAAACAAGAAGCATGTAGAAAAGACGTTGAACGTGCATTTGGAGTTCTTCAATCACGTTTTGGCATTGTAGCAGGACCAGTACGTTATTGGCGAAAAGAAATGCTACATGATATCATGACCACATGTATAATTTTGCATAACATGATTGTCGAGGATGAACGTGACCTAAGTGCACCAATTGAAACTGAAATGGAAACGCCGCCGCCGGAGGTCGAAGCAGTAGATGAAAGTACTCGATCTGAAGAATTCATATCTCAGTACAAAAGAATTAGAAATAAAGACGATCACATTGCTCTTCGAAATGCACTAATTGATCATCTGTGGGAAGAATTCACCAATTCCGAGACTTGAAAGAGTATCTATGTTTACTTGATTGTTGTAATTTTTATTTCTCATCTTGTGTGTTGTAATTTTTAATTTTATTTTGTGTGTTGTAATTTTTAATTTCTCATCTTGTGCGTTGTAATTTTTTAATTTTATCTTGTGTGTTGTAATTTTTAATTTATCATCTTGTGCGTTGTAATTTTTAATATTTTGTGTGTTGTAATTTTTAAATTTTAATTTTTAATGACTATTTGTTTCTCCGATTTTATTATGTATATATATGATTATTACTTTATAATTAGTTTATTACATAAAGTCCAAATTGAATTGAAAATAATAGTGTGGTTTACTTTGTAAAGTTGTAAAATATGTGGGTAGTATTGAAAAGTTATAAAAGTTGGTGTAGAAGAGAATATTCCGAGAATATTCTTTTGAGTTGGAGAATGGGTTTTTCGGTTGGAGATGAATTACTGCAAAATGGGTTTGACTATGGGGTATTCGATTGGAGATGGCCTTAATACTTATAACCCAACCAAAAAATAAAATAAGAAACAGAAATTTATATATTTATAAAAAAGTTTGATTATTTTTTAAATAGTAACTATTTCCCTTAAAAAAAATCTATTTACTATTTTGAAAAATTAATGTAATAATTTATGGTATATATCAAATAGTCACTTATGGAAAAAGCGTCTCATTATTTAAAGAAGTAATTAAGCCATATTTTAAGATACCTTAATTACTCAAATCATGTAAATTAATTAATACTATATGGTATGAACTGGACGAATTTATTTTTCGTATTGATGGTTATTTCTATAGGAAATAAATTAAACAATATATGGTATAAAATGAGCAAATTTATTAGGTTTATTTCTATAGGAAATAAATTAAACAATATATGGTATAAAATGAACAAATTTATTTAGGTTATTTGATGACTGTATTTTGGTAGGAAATTTGTTGAAAAATTAATCAATATACGATGTATTTTTTTCTATAATGTGCAAGCTAATATTAATGAAAAAATTTAATTTATAAATATTAATAAATATCTCTTACTGTACAGGATTCGTACTAGTGTAATAAGATTTGAGATGCATCAATTAAGGCATGTCACCTTGTTTTGCTGGAAGAAGGTCATTGGTTGAGATCATTAACTTTTATTCAATTCATAATATACTAAAGCTTAACAAATCTTGAACACAAGAAATTTGGTGCTGACTTTGATACACCACCAATCCTCATTCACCAAATGTTGACGTTAGATTCAATTTTTTAAGGCATTGTTTGCCTTGTCGTTTTAATTAGTTACACACCAATAGGCTATCAAGGGACGCTACACCGCCACGTTCTCATAATTAAATATGCATTTATTTTTTCATTAATTGTGGCGTCCGAAAGTCCGTCTTTTCCTGTGTTAGTCATGACAAAATGTAAATATATTTAAGTCGTGTTGTATAAAAACCATGAAACGAACACAAGTCTATCGTATCATCATAAAAGCTAGCACGAAGCTCGCCCTCCAAAAACCATCGTTAAACCTAACTTTCTCAGAAAGATAGAAAACTCCCATTTTTTAACCGGCGATATAGCTAGTTGGGCTTCCGCAAGTTATATTTCAGTTGGGTTGAATTCTGGAAGCAAGAAAATTGGAGTGGAAAAAGAACAAAGACACATGATCAAGAGGTAATGGAACTTCTTTTACATTTAAGTGCTATTATTATGCAAAATTACCATCAAATTTTAGCAGTTAATAAGAAACAAAAAAAATGGTTCCTTTTGGGGGAAAAAAAATATTTTTGCATTTTGAAAATTTAAAGAAAAATTATTTATTTTAGGAGGTAGTAGATGATATATATTGGTAATTCGAATAAAAAAACATAACGGAGTCTATATATTATATTTTCTTTCCTAAATTTGGAAAATTAATTTATAAAACTAAGTATTTTTGCACTCCATGACTTACCCCTTTTTATTCTTCATTTTCTACTTGTTTTGTTTTTTAATTTCAGGAATTAATTGGCCACCAGGTTGTTAAGCTCAAATTATCTAGAGAGAAATTAAACGCCAAGCCATCGATGATGAGAACTTGGACAGCAACAAGGAATGAATATACAGCCATCATCGTACTAAACAATGTACGAAAAAGAAAAAATTGCTCTCGTATATTTGTTAATAAAATTAGATACTTTTTTTTTTTTTTTCCAATTAACATGTCTGATTACTCACGCTATATACTTTATTCGTTCCTTTCCTTAGAAGTAAAGATAGATACTAATTAAAAATTTATCCTATGGTTAATTTGTTTAACTTTAAAAGAAAAATCAATTGATTTACTTGTAGGATAATGATGGCCATGGAACCGGGTTTTCACTTGACTTTACAACGGATTTTGTGGTATACGCAATAATAGGTAACGTGTCAGTGTCTATTGTTTGCAACCATACATTTGATTTGACCAACATTCTAATTTGAATTTGTATAAATTAGTACTATATGAAACATTATAAACAAAAAATACAACATTAATTAGTTGTTAGTTGTTGCCTTCAAGTAAAAACTTAGGAGAAAAAAGGCTTGATAAAAATTAAATTATATATTATGTCTTTCACATGAGGTATAAATTGATAGGGACGACATGGCAAATAATTGATTGGTAGCATGCTGTCGGTTGAGTTATTATTTTACCTAATCTAGTACGTGAATGGCGGGAGAGAATCTATTTAGTAGTTTTTTTATTATTCTAATTTGCACACCTTGAGAATTTAGTTAATAGTATATAGATAAATTACCTCAATATTCGATAAAGAAAAAATGAAGGTAAATAGTACTCCCTCCGTTTTTTATTAAATGTCGTTTTGACTTTTTTGATTCATCCATTTTGCTACGTATCTAGACATTTTTAATGTCTAGATACGTAGCAAAATGGATGAATCAAAAAAGTCAAAACGACATTTAATAAAAAACGGAGGGAGTACTTAATTAAGTACAATATTCGAATCACGTTGACTGCATTTACAATGCTTTTGTCTATTTAGGAACGAACATGTCCTGTGTTACATACAATTTTATTAGATGTTTGGTGTAAATAATTTTTTTTAAAAAAATACAAAATTTCAGCCATACTCGTCATGGTAATCGCACTTATCTTGAAACTTATGAGGAATATCGACCAAGACGATATTAGGGCCGTCGGTGGACGACATGTGATGTCATCAACTGAGAACAACAGATTATTATCGTCATCATCAGACGAGGGAACTTTGTTCAGTTGCTCATCTTATGGAACCATCAATAACAGTGATGAAGAGGATTTATTAGAATCGGGAAAATTAAGGAATTGCTGCAGTTCATCGTCTGAGGATTTGTACGATGCAAAAATATGTGTGATATGCTACGACCATCAAAGGAATTGCTTTTTTGTTCCATGTGGCCACTGTATTTCCTGCATTCCTTGTGCCAAGAGGTAAAAATCCTTAACTTCTTCATGACCTTACTAGTACGAATCTCGTGCGATGCACGAGTAACAAATATTCATTAATATTCATAAATTATAAATGACCATTAAATAGTATTTATAAATTAGAAATATGAAATCAATATATAATACAATTTGCTTATATTAATTTGTTGAAAATGTTATATGAAATTTAAATTGTGCAAAATTATATAAAACATGTTTATTTAAAATCAGTACACGACCTGTACGCTACAAATAACTTATAATAAGTTACATTATATTCATTTCAAAATAGGTGTCATTTTAAAAATTTTATTCAAAAATTCGATTTGATTACAATGTGATTTAAGTAAAAACAAATCTTTATACACATACACACACACCAAATAATTTGATATGTTCCACGCACATTTACAAAGAAAAATCGACCATAATATTATCCAAATTTTTATTCATTAATATTGAGTAAAATGCTTAGCAATATGAAAAAAAATATTAAGATACCATTTATTAACATAAGCGGATATAATGGATCAATATATAATATACCAAATAATTCGAGTTCATACTTTATTGATAAAATAAAAAAAAAATGATATTCAGTTTAACCACGAAATTAATTGCACAACGTACAATACATTTATTATAGATAAAAATAATTAAAAAAAACAACCCAAAAAATAGTTATTAAAAAATAATTAAATAGAAACTACCAATAACATAATTATTTTAGAATAGTTTTATAAGAAATTATAATTAAATAAATCAACCAAATTTACACGATCTGCGTAATTAGGTTATCTTAAAAATATAATTTTTTACGGTCAAATTATTTCCTTAATTATCCACGATTTGAACAATTAAATACACAAAAAATGAATAACATTTATTAAATAATATATAAATAAAAATTATCATTAACACCAATTTTTTTAGAACAGTTTTTTACAGCATAATTAATTACTGTTGTCGATATTTCTATAATTGTAGTAATTATTTACAGATTGAATAAATCAGTCACATTTACACAATTTGCGTAATTAGGGTATATTAAAAATGTATTTTACAAAAGAATTACACGAAAAATATAAAACACTTATCAAATAATAAATTATACAATTTCATTAAATTTTTTTTACCAAATCACATAATTGATATTGCAGCCGAAATTCCCATATTTTGCTAAATCAGCCAATTCACATAATTTGAGTAATTAAGGTATTTTAAAAATAAATTTACCATAAATGATTATTTAAAATAAACCATAAATTATTAAATTAATTTGAGTAATTAAGATAGTTTAAAAATATATTATTATATGGCTTAATAATTTTCTTAAGTAATGAACTGCAATTTTCATAACTGATTATTTAAAATATATCATTAATTGATAAATTAATTTTCCCAAAATAGTAAATACATTTTTTTGGAGGAAAATTACTATTTAAAAAATAATCAAACCTTTATATATATACTAGTACGAATCCCATACATACACGGGTAAGAGATATTATTTAATATTTATAAATTAAAAATACTCATTAAATAATATCTATAAATTAGAAACATGGAATCAATATGTAATACAATGTAACTATATAATTTATTGAAAATGTTATATAAATTTAAATTGTGCAAAATTGCATAAAAATATCTATTTAAAATTAATACGCATCTGCATATAATTGACAATAAATTACATTATATCATTTCAAAATATGTGTCATTTCAAAAATTTTATTCAGAAATTCAATTTGACTATAACGTGATTCCATAAAATAATTATTTTGGTAAAATTTTATCATATATTTAAAAATCTATATGAATAATAAGTATAAATATAAAAACCATATTGTTTAATTAATTAAAATAAATTTATTTTTGTACACAATATCCAAATCAAAAAATTAAAGTAGTTGAGTCAAAGCAATCAGTCATAATATTTTTTATGCTAAAAAAACCGACGCTCTTTATCATGCTAAAAAAATTAATAGTGCAGTTCACACAAAAATTATTTAAAATGTCGTAACAAAAAATGAATTAAATCGAGAACCACTAATTATACAAAAAAAAAATGACCAGAGCTTGCCCACTTTATGTCATATATTGATTAATTTATTTCCTATAGAAACAACCATCAATACCAAAAATAAATTCGTCCACTATATAACATATATTAATTAATTCACATGATTTTAGTAATTAAGGTATCTTAAAATATGACTTAATTACTTCCTTAAATAATGAGCCGCAATTACCATATGTGTTCATTCAAAATTTACCATAAATTGTTAAATTAATTTTCCAAAATAGTAAATAATTTTTTTTGGAAGGAAATAGTTACTATTTAAAAAATAATCAAACATTTATATATATACTAGTACAAATTCCGTGCGATGCACGGGTAAGAGATATTCATCAATATTTATAAATTAAAAAATATCATTATTTATAAATGAGAAACATGAAATATGTAATACAATGTACCTATATTAATTTATTGAAAATGTTATATAAAATTTAAATTGTGCAAAATTATATAAAATTGTCTATCTAAAATCAATACACAAAATGTGTTTTGCACATAACTGATAACAAATTACATTATATTTGTTTCAAAATATGTGTCATGTAGATAAAAATTTATTCAAAAATTCGATTTGACTATAACGTGATTCCATAAAATAATTATTTTGGTAAAATTTTATCATATATTTAAAAATCTATGTGTATAATAAGTATAAATATAAAACTTATATTGTTTCATTAATTTAAAATAATTTTTTTTTTTTGTATAAAATATTCAAATCAAAAAATTTAAGTAGCTGAGTAAAAACACCAGTCATAAGATTTTTTATGCAAAAAAAGTCGACACTCTTTATCATACTAAAAAAAATGAACAGTGCATTTCACACAAAAATTATTTGAAATGTCCTAACAAAAAATGAATTAAATCGAGACCTGCTAATTATACAAACAAAAATGACTAGAATTTTTTCTATAAAAAAATATCGATATACGCACATTATATCAAAATATCCGTTCATATTATTTTTTTCGGAGTTACGATAATTTTATTATGTTAATTTCGTACAAAAAATTGAAATAAAAATTGAAACTCACTCTTAAAAACAATATATTGGCATGCGCATTACATCCTGACCGTTTAGGTATGAAAAACAATAGTGTTGGACATATATTTTACACATCTTTTGATCAACATTGTTTTTTTAGTAATAATATTAAACCCGAGCCTATTAGCCATTGTTTGTAACAATTTAATATCTTATTATAAATTTTGTTGTCATATAATGTCGATATAATTTTATTTTTTATAAAATTTATAGAAGTAGTCTTTTTTCCATGTAGTGAAAATATATAATGTACATTAATATTATTTATTAATATTAAGTATTGATGTCTTTTCTTTTTAAAAATTTAATGATATTATTAGTTATTATTTATTTTTTATATAGCATATTAAATTAACTTTAATTTTACGATATTTGCTACCACTCCTAACAAAATCATACTGGTCAATATTTAGAAATTACACTATATAATTATTCTAACATTGCTGATTAGATTTTATCATCAAATAATTTCAAACATAACTCTTAACAAAATCCGTATAAAACGTTTTCCTATAGTATATATCATAAATGATATATTTTTGTTGCAAATAGAACTAAAACTTACCAATTTAACATGAATCATATAAAAAATAAAAATATATTTTTATTATATTTTAAAAACAAAATCAAAAAGAATATCTAAAAAGAGCATCTTATATATACGTGAATCTTGGGACAGATTTTTAATTGTTTTCAACTACTAAAAGTTGATTTTTATAAATTAAATATCTATATATAAGTTTGTCCACTCACTCAGTATCTACAATCATTTGTAATATCATTTGTTCAAGATACATGTAAATAAATATGCAATAGCTGAAGATACTACATATAAGTTTTTTACTTTACATTTTGTATAAAATCATCAAGAAATCACAAATCAATTAATTTTTCATAATACTATAAATCGTTGATTGTCAGTGCCGTGAATTTGTACAAATATCAGTGATATAGAATGTATGCTATTAGAATTTTTAGTTATCTTTTGTTTAAAAGACCTATGAATCAAAGTTAAATTGGGCAGCATATCTTAACTATGGAATGAAATTTTCGTAATTCTTTTTCGACTTATGGTATTAAAAATGGTAGGAAATTAACCAAAAGTTTAGGACTAATCGCACTCAATTAAAATGCAATTAGCATATAATCCAAACAATAACTTCTTACCAAATTACAAAATTTCTTATTTTAGTAACAAATATTTTTTTGGCGGGAAATAATTTCTATTTTAAAAATAATCAAAGCTTTTTATATATATACTAGTACGTGGCCCGTGCGATGCACGGGTAAACAATAAAACAATTGAATTATAAATTAAAGGGAAAGCTCGTTACGACACTATTCCGTCGGGGGGTTTTAACAGTGTATTATTTATCCTTCACTAATCTACATGTGTATCTAACAGTTAAAAACTTTGACAAAATATTTCCGTAATGGATTGTAGTCTTTCCCACAATATATAACTTAACATTCATCTTCATTACCTCATGATAACATTTTTACTTTATTTATTTGAATTGTATTATATTTATTGGAACAAATATTTCTTAAGAAATTAGTATTCAGTTTCAATAATCGATTTAATTCAGTCAATTTGACTCATAACATGGTCACCCAAGATGCAACAAAAGTTATGTCATATTTTTCGGCGATTTTTACAAATGATAAAAAATTGGTCCAATAAACATGTACAATAACCTGATTCACTGAACCGGTTGATCCAAATAAATTTCATCTTTTTTGTCGTAAATATAATTAATTTTATGAAATAAAAAATAAGTTGTGATTCATATAAAATGTTTATAACAAATGACCATATATTATGACTCGAAATTATATTACAGAAGAAAAATTAACTGTTTATTACTTATATATATTTTTTAAAAAATTAAATTAAGTAATTGATTATGTAATTGACATGATGACTTGATACGAACATGGGTCTGAACAAAGCAGTGATCTAATGCATATTTATTAAATTTTTGTAGTATGTTAGTGATCTGAACAAACCGAAATTTCAAAATAAATTTTAATATAAAATTTTTCTATTTAATTGAGCATCATGTGTTTCTTTATCTACGGAATTCATTTGAATTTTGTTTTGTAATGCAAAATTAAAGAGACAGAAATAAATAATAAACATTAATTAGCAAGTGAAGATACATATCCGATTTTTTACCAAGTCAAATGCTTCCTGACTTTTTGAAATATATATATAAAAAAAAAAAGTTACTCAAAATAGTATGTAATTAATGTTTACAGATTTTTTGCTTACTATTTTGGGTAAATGATAGTTCGTTTTATATATATATATATAGATAGATATAGATATAGATATAGTTTTTTATAACAAAATTGTGATTAACTGTCTCGTAACAATTATATTATACATAAGTTTTACTGTTTTAGTTAGGTGGGTCCATCTATTCTATCTTTTAATTAGAAATGCATACTTATACTATAAATATAATATTTTGTTTTTATTTTTATTTTATAAAATTTCTTTATGAGAGTATAAATATTTATTATAAAAAATAGATAAGTGCCTAGTGATTAGTCTACTTAAGAGCAGTGTTTATCTTTATAATATGAGATGGGTAAAAAGTAAAAACAGAAAACAACCACATTTATTTTATAAAATTTCTTTATGAGAGTATAAATATTTATTATAAAAAGTAGATAAGTGCCTAGTGATTAGTCTACTTAAGAGCAGTGTTTATCTTTATAATATGAGATGGGTAAAAGTAAAAACAGAAAACAACCACATTTTGAATGGATTATGAGAATACTTTTTTGAGTTGGTTTTAAATTAATTATGCAGGATTATAAGTGGAGAAATCAAGAGCTGTCCAATATGCCGGACATTTATCAACAAAGTTGCCAAGTTGCGAATTTTATGAAGCAAAAACACACACTCCATTTTATACTTTTATTTTTATTTTTTATTTTCGTCTTTCCTAATTAAATTGGATTGAATGTAGATCACTTGTATTAATATAAAGCGGCCATGTACTAGTGACGGATCTAGAAATTTTATTTGAGGGGCTCGATTTAAAATGTTAAATAGTGAGCTTGTAATTTAAATCGAAACACTCATTTTATATAAAAATGTATTAGTACAAATGTACATGTACATATGTATACGATCAAGTTTTTAAAACATAGAATTCGTATCACCCTTAAACTTTTAAAAAAATAGACTAAAAAATGAGATTGCATGTATTTATAATTTAATTTCACCATCTATAGGTTGAAATTTGATATAAATTGAACTTTTGCACCATATTGCATAACATTTTTGTTGATGAGGAGCTTATCAAATGAACATTTTTTTTAAAAAAATAAATAAATAAAGTTAATAATATGTGATTACACAAAAAAAATTAAAAAACAACATTAAAAAAGGTAACAATCCAACTAAATAATCGGTTTTATAAATCACTAAATCGATTTATAAGAGTAAATCATTGTAAATATTTTCAAAAGGTTATCTAAAAATTTAAAATATAAAGATTGTTAGTATATTTTTCAATAAATAAATAATATTATTAATTTAAATAAAAAATAGCTTAGGAAATAAGTTTTAATTATTAATATATTGTAAATATTTTTTACATTTCTATATATATTTTATAGTGCTTTCTTTTTATATATATATATATATTGATTTTTTATAAATTTAATTATTAATATAATGTAAATAATTTTTTACATGTTTTATTTATTTATTTATATATATATATATATATATTAATTTTTTTTAAAAAAATTC